TCCCGCCCCCGTGGGGCTGTGGCTGAGGAACTGCCGGAGGAAATGCGGCGAGACTGATGTTTGCTTTCTTTTTTGTTTTGTTTTAATTTCAAATTTGAGCCGTACGGAAAAGAAATGAATTTGATCGCCTGCCTCGCAGGGGGAGTGAAACGCACTGTCCTACCAGCACTCATACCTTCATTTAGTAATGAGATTTTCATAGCTTAATTTAGTAAAGGCTTCTTCTCCTCTCCTGTCTGCATCCTGGCTCGTATCAGCACTGGGGTGGCCAGCAGGAGCAGGGCAGAGATTGTCCCAAACACACAGAGTGTTTGCTCTTTGTCACATCTGAGTAGTTTTATTTTGGAAAACTCACTCTAAAGCATATGAGGAGTTCTTTTAACTGGAGTTTTAGTTGAAAGAGAACTGGCTTGCTTCACTTGCTTGCCTTGTTAAATTATATCTTGTCTGAACAGCATAAGCTCCTCAAGTAGTTCTTGCAGGAGACTGTTCTGAGGAGGAAGCCCTTAGCAAAACAGTCAATTTAGAGTGTCTAGTTGAAATCTAATTATAGTCATCCTCCCCCACCTCTTCTCAGTGATGACAAATACAGTAGTTTTACAGGATGATTTCATGCAACTTCCTCTTCTCCCTGTTTCATTCTAAATTTTCACTAACACCCTGTTCTCCATCTTCTGCTCAGGCACCGCAGCTTCTGCAGCTTTTGATTGACTGACCCTGCTTTTGTGGGAGATTGAGTGCAAGGACTGGATCTTGTTACAGAAGGGATCTAACCAAACAGTTTCATGGCCCCAGTTAGTTCCCTTGGCTAAAAAATAAATGCTTTAATAATTCAAACACATGGAAATAAAATGCAAGGACCATGGAGAGCAGCGAAATAATCTGAATAAAGCTAAACTATGTTGCATAGCTACCAAATTCCTGTATAATCATAATGGCTACTGAATTCCTGTTCTGCATGGCAGGCTGAAATACACATTTTTTTTTTTGTCCTTTTCAGATCTCACAGCCTGAAGAATGCAGCAGGTTTCTCAGAGGGTTGGCATGTGCTCCTCCTGTTGGAGGAGGCAGCTGAGTGGGTTCCTGGGGCTGAGGAGATGGCAGAGGAGGCTCCTTCCTGTGCCTGTCAGAACCACCTACAGTGAGACAGGGAAATGGGAGAAAAACTATGGCATGGAGACAAGGAAAAGAGTGGAAACCTGGTGGCTCCCAAGAATAAAGGATCAGTTTTGTAGAACTTCAGAAACTGATGTAAGTGTTATGAGAAATCTGGAAACTGTATTGGGTATTTTTGTTTTCTCAGAATGAAATTAATTGAATCTTTCTGAGTCCAGTTGGTGTGTGATGGTGGGACATAGGTTACATTTTGGGGGAAAATACTTCTGTATGATAGAGGAGGATTAAGGACAGCTGATGATATAGGTGGTGTCCTGGTCTTGGCTGAGATAAGAACTCATTTTCTTCCTAGTGGGTGGTACCAGTGCACTGGGCTTAAACCACAGCAGTGGAAACAAGAATCATTAAAAAAATCTGGAGGTAAAACATGGTGATAAGCAAAGTATGAACATGTAAATTGAGGAGGTGTTTAAGTAATCAATTATTTCTTTCTATATTATACCACATTTAGAAATTATTTGAAGTATTAAAAGAAACATCTTTTAAGTTCTAACTTCTGTAAACAGTTTTCTCAAGATCTTGTCCCAAATGGTTGTGACAAATCTATTACAGTACACACTGCACCTCATCAAAAATCCCTGTTAAAGGGAAGATGATTTAAGAATATTTTAGTGTTTTAGGAATAATGAGTGACTTGCAGAAAAAAATAACATCCCATTAGGTGTCCAACAGTGTACAGTGCTGCTGTGCTCAGATTATTTCTGATTTTGCTATTATTGGACAAAAGCAATGCAGGAGTATTTGCTACCTATGAAGAGAGTTTAGTTCAGCATAGTAAAGTTGCCCATAATTGTTTTCATCATTAACATGAGAAACATAATTGAGAAACTTAGCCCCACGTGTGCTGATGGCCAGTTCCATGGTAATCAGGATGTATTAGGAAGAGTTTGATTCCTTTGTCATTTTTTTTTTCCATTTGCTGAAACCTAACTAAGTGAAATGTTTAATTTCTTTTTGCTCTTTGGGTCTGGGCAGATGCAGTGGAGCCACTTTCATGGCAGTGGGTGCCCAGGCAGTAATTTCTGAGTCAGTCACTCAGTGCTCAGTCACTGCAGGGCAGCTGAAAAAAAGCAACTGGCCTGCTGTGAGCTCCACCTTTGCTGGAGATATAAAGTGAAATGCTTGTTTAAATTCTCAAGAGGATAAAGGGATCTGTCCTGTTTTCAGTTTTTGGTGGGCCAGCTGAGGAGTGTGGAGATGAGCAGTTACAGCTGCTGGGGTGGGGACTGCTGATTTGTTAGCTGCAGTTATCTCAGTGCATCTTTTGTTGAGGAAAAGGGGATTCAAAACAGAATTTTCAAGTGCCATGCAAATATCAATATAAATTAGTGAGATGGCAGCAAAATCTGGGGAAACATCCCCAAATCTGGGGAAACACCCCCATTTACAGCCCCACAGGACTTGATCCAAGGAACTTTGTCACTGCTCACGGGGGTCAGTTCCGGCAGAACCTTGGTTCTTCTTGTGCAGCTTGTGACACAGGCCTGTGTTTATTCAGGTGGAATGCTGACTTGCCTAGTTATAGCTTTCTAAACATTTCTTTCTAGAAATCAAGACCCAAATTTTACGTGCTTTCTATGTTCCCCTATCCTTCTGGGAAGCTTCACATGGGCCATGTTCGTGTCTACACCATCAGCGACGCGGTAGCTCGGTTCCAGAAGATGAGAGGGATGCAGGTAAGGAAGGGTGGGCAGTGGAACTGGCTGGGGGTTTTGATGTTGAAATATCATAATTGTTCAGGAAATTAGTGTCTCCTAAGTATAGACAGTGACCTGTGGAGCTTTGAACGTTGAAATTTGAGACTTCTGTCAAGCAGGTGGTGGTCAGAACTCACTGTTGGTAACAAGAAGCCATCTCAAAGGATACAGCAGCTGCTGTATCAGCTCCCCAAATCCATTGGTGTGTGGCACAGACCTGTGGGCCACACCGTTGCTGTGAGGAGGCTGAAGACCCTCCTGCCATCCAGGTGGGACCATTGGGGATGAGAAGGTGCAGCTGGCAGGAGAAAACTGAGACACCACGTTTGGTAGGGGGAAAAGGTGAAGAATCTGGGCAACAGTAGGAAGGAGTATGGGAAGGGAATACCCAGGTTTGGGGGAGAGAACCAAAGGAGTGAAATGGGCAAGAATCTAGGATGAGACTCAGGAATTCTCTCTAATGTACAGGAGAGCAGGAGCAGCTCCAGAATACAGGAGTCAGAACCTCAAAAGGTGAAATGGAGAAGTAGCTGTTGGTTGCTGTTGTGGCACTTGCTGTGAGTGCTGTGGCATTGTTGTACTCCTGGAGTTCCCACCATCCTGAGGTTCCTGAAGGTATCCATGCTGAAATATTCAGTGTGCTGCCTTCCTAAACACCACCTATTTCATGCCAATAATGAACATGCCATGCACTGAATATCTGCTGCTGCTTTACAGAAATGCAGTCTGAAGAAGAAATTACTGCCTTAGACTTTAAATGAGGAAAAAAACCCAAACCAAACCAACAATCTGTGGTGTAACACTGATCTTTCCTAACTCCTCTGCATGACCAGAACTTGGATCTCACTTTAAAATTTGATCCAGCTGGACTCTTGAGGGGCCTTCTGATTCTTGCTTGATGTTTTGACCACTGGAGATGCCATCTCAGGTTGTAGCTCCTCTCTCATGAATAACAGTGCAGATACCCACTGAATTTCTGTTCAGAAGGATGGGAACTTGCTTCCTCTCCTGCTAGCTAAAATAAAGTGGAAACAATTGTCTGCATTCAGTAGGATGCTGGAGGTGGTAGCTTTGGAATGCAAAGGAAATAAGCACCTTCAGCTGAGACCTTTGGGGGAAATGAGAAGATAATATAATTACAGTCAAACACAAGAGCCACTGTGAAAGCAAGTCCTTATTTCCACAGCTGCCTATTGTCTTCCAGAAAAGTTGTGGAAGTCTTTTAAAGTTTTTAAATCTTGCATTTCAGCCTATTGTTGTATTTCATGTGCAAATGACTTTGAAGGCTCTTCAGAGCACCTGTAGAACATGCTGAGTGCCTATAAATCTGTATTGTTATGACTAAAGGTGGGCAGCCAAAGAATTGAACCTTCATATAGGATTAAGAGACATTAAAGATCTCCCAGATGGTTTTCTGAGTGTGTCAGACTAATAGCTGTTGTTAGTGATGCTGAGGAACTTGCTGGAACTCAGACTCACCTTAAAACCCCTTTTCTTTGTTAGCCATGCTAATTTCCCCATCGTTTAGAACTAAAGTCTTTGTCATTGATTTTTCTCCTCACAATTAATTGATCAGTCTCTGGATGTTTTCTCTGGCCATTGCCACAGTTGTGCAGCCTGTTAAAGATTTCTTTATTGTGATGGTTGCAGGCTGTGACATGGTTATGTCTTACCCTACATAAAATCTGATATTCCCAAGAAAAAATATTCATGGAATTACTGTAATTTTTCAGTGCCTAAAAAGAAAACATACCTTAGAAACAGAAAATGTGAGCATGCATAGTTTTGAAGTTATTCTGCTGGGTTTTGTTTGTTTGGGGTGTTTTTTTTCTTTTCGTCTCTGGAAATCCAGCTTTAATATTGCATGTTTAAAAGTTCCACCATTGCTAATTTTTCCCAAGTCAGGATTCTCAGTAGAAGTGAATGCATTTCAGGTATCCAGGGCAAGTTTAGGATAAGATTTTTGATTAATAATGTTTCAACCTTGCTGCCATAATTTCCAAACTTTAAAAAAAAAGGGTGAGTTATTGAAAATAATCTTGGGAACCATGTCTCTGTGTATAGATGTAGAAGCAGCACTGGTAGGTTGAAAGTGTTTATAAGGCAATGAGGAATGATGGCCTGTTACTGTGGAAAGCAGAGGGAAAACCATTCACATTTACAGTGCCCAGGGAAAACTTCAAACTCCAGTTTAGATACATTGTCTAATAAACAGTGAAGGAAAATATATGTATGGTGTCTACATTAGCTGAGCAGTGTTTATGGTTAAGAGAGTAATGGCTGTTGAACAAGGTGGAGACATTTTTCTTAGAGAATGCTTTTATGAGGAAAGAGGGAATTTAGTTTCACATTGATTTAATCTGAACAGGCAACAACTGGGCTGTGACAGTACTTCAGTAAGGATAAACTCGATGCCTTTGCAAAGGGCTCAGGCTCCTGGAGGGAATGAGAACCCTTCCCTGGAACACGTTCAGGTCATTTCTTCATGTTGGAGGTAGTTTGAAAGCCTTAAATCATTTGGAAGCTGGTTTTTGTTTTTCTAAAATGGAACGTTAGTGTTTCGTTTTTCTGGCTGGAAAGGATCTGATTTGGTTTCCATTAAAATATATTGGGCAGAAACCTTGATTTCACCAGCATTTTATGTAGGGGAA